TAAGAAAAGAGAAACCAGAACACCCCAATCCCGATCCCTGCCCGGCCACATCTCCAGGCACAGACTCGGCCAATTAGCCAATGTGTTTATTTGGAAACGTCCAGTGCCAAACGTAACTTAATGGGTAAGTCATCAGTCCATGGATGGCTTATGGCCAGACATTTTACCAAAGGTTTCTAATCTTTGTGTGATTTCTATTGAAGGATATACTTTATGATGGGTGTAGGGCAGTTAAAGTAGACTCCTCATTCATTAAATAGATAAGATTACCAAGATTTCATGATCCGTCTTGAGAAGGTCGATTTGATATCTTGAAACTCTTAGGTACATATAAAATGTTGTAATCTTTCTACATTGAAGTAAAAAATACGAGGGAAATGAAGAAGCGCCTTTTGATTTTGAGGCAACTGTTATATTAACATTCTTTGTAGAATTCACGGGGAGAAGAAACTTTATATGCCTTCCATTTTTTTAAAAAAAATAATTTCGTGGCCAAATTCCCTTGCCAACACAAATCCAAGTACTCAAAACACTGTGATTCCTTGAACTAGACTTTGCCATGTCCAAGGATGCAATCCTAGGAAACGTGTCTTTTATTGATAGTTAGTTACAAGGATGATGCTGCTTCAGTCGGATGGACGTGTTTTTAGCTGTCTTTTGATTCGGATCTTGTGATATATGGAAAAACTCTTGAAAGAAGTTTTCGTTGTGGGCGAGTAAGACGTTTAGTCCAAGATTTCAAGGAGGACATAGTTGTAAAACACTAGAGGAGTCCTGACAACATGGATTCCGTATGTTCATGTGAATACGAATCCGAGTTTTATTGTCAAAATAAAAATTACCATAAACGGCAAAAACGCTTAATCGAGGACCTAAACGGCAAAATTTGCCCAAAATTCGATGTATGTTAGGGCCGAAGGCGCTGAGTTGTGATCATTTGCCCATTTCCAATCGAATTAGACTAACAATTAACCAAAAAGGGACAAACTGAAATTATCATGAAATCATTATT